TAGCAATTTAAGGTGCAATAAAAACTATTGCACGAAAAATAAATTTAAGGAGGATTATATGAATCAAGAAGAATTCTTCTTGGTCTTTTAGAATTATCATTAGGAATATAAGGAATTAAGCTCTGCATATTAGAATTTTAGTTTGCTGGTAGATCGTTGAAAAAATTAATTGCTATTTTCTGAATATGAGATTTAAAACTATTGTGTACAATAGTAATTTTTAAAGCATTACGTATATCGTCATTGCACATGTACCTTGTGGCTTTGACAATCATACGTATTAAAGAATTTTGCAGAGTATCAAGTATATTAATATTTGTTTTAGCGGCATAACCCCATACTGGACTTGCGTAGGCTAAAATTGGACTCATAACGGCTGTATAGAGAAGCACTTTGTTTTCTATACTTAAATGAGAGTTCCGGCCAATTAAGGGGTAGAGTTTAAACATGATTTTCCGGAACTTATCGCGAGCGTATAAAATATGTTGTTTGGAGTGCCTGTGGGCGTATCACTACATCTTTATGTAGCCACACTCTCACAGCGCCCTCTATAGTTGGACTCTAACAGACTCAAAACATTTTTCATATGAGGAAAGATTTTTTTTTTTTTTTACTCTGATATATAGAACGAAAAGCAGAAAGCAGAGGACATGTAATTTTTTAATTCCTACTATTAGCTCACACTCTATGTATTTATTCATCTTGGTGGAATTTTCAATCGTTAATAAAATACATTTTAAAGCGCTTAATTGAGCTGAAATTTTATATACATGATTATTTTGGATGACAATACAATAATTTAATTATAATTAATAAAAATTGATTGATTAAAACTAATTATTTAAAGCATTACAAATACAGCCACGTTGGCATTATTTTTGGCGACCCTTTTGGCAACGTGTGTCAAAACTTAAAATTGGTTTTTTTTCTCACGTTTTAAAGCATTCAGTTGATCTGAAATTTTACACACACGATTGTTTTGGATGACAATACGATACTTTAATGATAAATAATAATAATGAATTAGCACTTAATGTTGTGATTCTGTCCTATGTATATACATACTTATATCAATTGTAACTATTTAATAAAATTAGCTAAAATAAAATTCTTCTTTGATCTAAGTAGGAATTGACTTTAAAATTTTTTTTTTATATTACTTGTTTTCTCTTCAAACTCTCCAGCAATGATATTCACTAATTTACAAAACAGCTGTAAATTTATCTTAAGAGTTACCTTTCAGATTTTTTCGTAATTCCGTAGAATACCATTATTCTGAAGATGTTTGTCAAATAATAACTTCCATCCACTCAAAAATTGACAAACTTGTAGAGTAGCGCAGCTTCAGGTTACCGACCCCTGGGCTAGATTCCAGGAGGCCTAAAACCTGACTGACGCCAAATACGTATTTAACCAATTTGTAAAATATTAAAAGCAAAAACTGACTTTAAAGTGAGAGGGGGGGGCTAATATTCTCCGTTACACCACTGAACAAAAGTGTAGCTTCAAGAGCTTGGAAAGTCTACCAAATGACAGATTCATCTGTAAGAAAGGTTGGCCTTGGTAAACCGAGGAAAACAACGGCAAGTGATAACCGGTATATCGACTGCACGCAGAAAGAGACTTTAACCAGAAATTGCTCTCTACACACATGCAAATACACATACTGTACATAAACTTATATCTTTCAGTTTTCATCTCTCTTTTTTGACGGTCTTTCGAATTAAGGTATCCGACTACGTTCGGAACCGTGATTCTGTAAAAGCGTATAAATGGATAATGTTTATGAGATTTAGTGTCACTTAGATTAGAAAATGTATATAAAATTGTTTTAAGAATGTTATTACAATAAAAAATTATTTAAGTACAATATTTTGACAAAAAATGAACATAGAATGACCCATTTTTAAAATAGGCTCCTTTTGTGAAAAATGCTTCTATTATTGTAATATTTTGCTTGTATATAGCTCAGACCACTGTACAGAGGCTCAACTAGAATTTTTGAAATATATAACTTAGAAGTGGGTTTATTCATGTTTTACGACATACGTGAGGAGAAATTTTAAGAAAAAAACGCCGATAATTATTTCAATTGGTTGTAACTCTGAAAATGATGTGAATTTTTCAAAAATCGTAGTCGAGCCTCTGTACAGTGGTTTGAGCTATATACAGGCAAAATATTATTATAATCGAAGCATTTTTGACCAAAGGAGAACATTTTGAAAAAAGGTTATTCTAAGTTAATTTTTTGCCGAAATATTGTATTTAAATAATTTTTTTTGTCAAATGTCCTTAAAACAATTTTATACATGTATTTTAATCTAAGTGACACTAAATATCATGAAAATTATCCATTTAAGCGTTTTTTAAAAAATCATGGTTCCGAACGTAGTCGGATACCTTAAATAAATTAATTTAATCTCACGCACGATTTTTTGATTAACGAGGAAAGTATCCCCTTTCTTTTGCAATACAAATCGTATGTTTTACTGTCATGCTCAGTATTATATACAAACATACACATTTGTGTGTGTGCAGGGACGTCTTAAGACTTTTTGAGGCCCTTGGCCCCAATGGAAAAGTAGGCCCCACCAGGGGCGCAGCTACCGCCGTATCAGTCGTATCAATGATACGAGGCCCTCAAGCTACAAGTACCCCAACATGTGTAGCTACAGTCCCACTAAAAAAGTCCCATAGCTAAAAAAGGGCCCCGTAGGAATTTTGATACAGAGCCGTCTCAGAGCTAGCTACGCCAGTGGGCCCTACCTGCAATCTTTAAAAGTAGACAGTATATAGCATGCATTGTCAAATATTCATTCAAATGGTAAATTGAAACAAATAAATATGCACAACTCAAAACCTCAAAAATCTGGGCACCGACGGCTCAACCAATGGCCGCATTTCGTCTAAATGAGTTGAATGATTATTTATGGTATTAGGCCTAGGTCTAGACGTGGACAACGGTCATCACATAATAATACAGTCTTACCCACTTTTGTCAGTTGACATGCAGTTGGAAATTCCCTGTTTTTCGGAGAATATGTACATGATTAATAGTTGGCCACATTAAAATTATCTGGATCATGATCTTACTAAAGGCCCAGTGGTCGAGTGTAGGCGTATCGTGCTTCCACACCACAGGTCCGGGTTCTATTCCAGGGCTGGGCAAGGTCTACTCAGCCTTTCATCCTTACTGCAGTGGGTTGATAAATGAGTACCAAAAAAAAAGCTTGCTTGGGGACTTAAACACTGGGGATCTTGCTTCTGACGGACCACCTGATCGGGACATGTGCTCATGCACCTCAGCACCCAATGGTCACATATACTGGGATAGACACAGTAGGCCCTGGCCCTCAGAGGCTGTTGCGCCTCTGAGTTTGAGTTTTATGATCTTACTAAGACAGAGTTGAGAACGAAACTAGGCCCCCTCCGAAAGCGAGGCCCTGGGTCCAGTTGGCCCATGCCTTGAGACGTCCTGTGTCAATGAAATAGGTTTTTCCTCAAAGGATACTAGTACAGTTTTCCTTAAAGGATACTAGTACAGTTTTCCTTAAAGGATACTAGTACAGTTTTAAAAAATTTCGAAAGATGAAAACATTCTCTTGAATAATGCAATAGCAACCTCACATTGAGTTTGCAATGACAAACAATTTTTTTTTAAAGAAATGTCGATCAAGTTATGTTTTTTCTCCAATTTATTTATTTTGGCAAACGCATTTTTTTTTTACAAAATATCAAACTCAACGCTCATTGTTCAACTGTTGACTGCATCTCTTTCGAAAAAGACGACAAAGACAGCCAATCGACAGACAAAAAAAAAAAAAAAAAAAAAAAAAATATGAAGATAGAAACAATTATTTTTTCCCCCACAACACGCCTTCACACACAATCCCCGTACCTCACGTCTTGTGAATGTAGCAGATTTTTTTTTTTTCACAGGGACGGCAGCTGAAAAAGTGGGCTCTATTTTTGTTGTTTTATTGTCGGTCCCAGCTGTTCCGCCAGTGACTGTTTTGACTGCGAGCGCAGAGGAGGCTTTTTCTAAGAAAGAAATAAAAAAGAAAGCACAGTTTGACTTTCTAATAATAAAAAGACCCAAGCGAAAACGGAAAAGCTAAAATAGCTCGACTTTAGAGAAACAATGGCGAATACGGGGGAAACAAAACACTGCAAATAAAAGGTCCACCTGATTGTTTGGGGGAGAGGAGCAGAGTTTTCGCTACCTTGGAGGGAGTCGGTGTCTTTTGACGTCGACAAATCGCTAATTGAAAGCTAATAATAAGCCCTTCTGACTTGCTGCCTTAGTGGGCTCAAAATATCTTTTCCTCCAGTGCAGGTGAAACTTAATCTCTATTTGCTGTCATCGCAGTGAGGGTTCGTATTTCTTTCGATCATCTATTAATTTTAATGGACAGCTTTCCGCTTTTTTGTGACTTCTGGTTGCTACTGCTGCTGTAAACAGAAATCCCGCATCTCATCAAACGGATTCGCTGTTTCGTTGTTTTTCGCACTTGCTTGTGAAAATATTGGGGGAATGTACAATTTCACGAAGAGTTGTAACAGGGATTTTTTTTTTTTTTTTTGAATAAAAGTAAGTTAAGATGTTCAGCATAATCGACATAAAAGAGATAGAGAATTGGAATTTTTTTTTAAATAACTAAAACGAGCCTTACTGTAGTCGCATATGATGTGTAACATCTGACATGTTGTCGTGGTAAATACGTAATAGTAACTTAAATCCTGGGGAAAAAATGAATCGGGTATGATTGGAAGTAACTTCCTATCGAATAATTATATCTTGTTTTGTCGTGTGTTTTTATCCTGGAATACATATGAAATACAAGTGGAAGAACAGAAATATGCAATACTAACAGAAGAATATAGATATTTATTACAGATGATCCCAGCATATAACAAGAAGGGGAACGCAGTTTTCCGTTCGAGACGGGAATCCATTACAGGTGAAAGCCCGACTTCTGTTCCCGAAGAAAATACAACCAGACCTTACTCGGGATTCGAACCCGAACCCACTCGGTTACAAGCCGAGGGTCATACCCACCATACTGGCTGAGCGGCAATTACATCTTAAATAAACATTCTATTTAATTAACACAAGGAGTAAAAAAAATGCAATTCTTTATCAAAAATAATTATTCTTGTTCAATTTGGGGAAGAGTGGAGACAATAAACATATGATAACTAAAATATGGCATATATACTTGTGATTTCAAAGCATTTAAAAACCGTTGAAAAAAAAAAGCAGCGTCAATAACAGTACCACTGTTAGTTGTCGAAACATTTCGATTTGTGTACTTTTCGAGCTTGAGTTCATCATTCAAAAAAGCTATGAATGACTCAGCTTCTGGCAAACTGAAGTTTACGTTGAAATCACCACTCACAATCATGGTGATCGAGTGATAGCTTTTTTTTAAAAAAAGAACAGAACCACGTTTGACATATGGTAAACGTACAAAATGCAGGAAATCTTTAATTTTTTGAACCGTTTGATTCGGAGAAATGTATACGACCACCGAAATCACTGTTTGTCCATTTTCAAATAAGCATCCTGCCGCACATATGTGCCCAATATCTTGACTAACAATATCCAATTCACTTTTTTAACGATAAGTCATGTCCATATGAGGAGTCGCAACATGCGAGTTGTTCAGTTTGCGATAGATCGCTACACCAGCTATTTTGTGGCCCGGTCGTTTAAATGTGCGCAACTATCGAAGTTAGGTATCGAAACACGTTCGTCATTATCCCTCACGCAAAATGGGTTGGCACCATCTCACAGACATCTCTTCGCCACCGCGCGCGCTCACTGAGCAATTCAAATAGCGCAAGCTTCCTCGGTTTCCTGTAACACATTTCCGTCCATTTTCACGAAATCACTCCCGCAAAAAATATTTAACAACTGAAAGGAAGGATGTTACACATCAAAAACAAAAGGATATTTGAGGATAACATATCTTCATGATGTATGTGATGCATAACATACGTATTGAAAGTAGCGCACACAGGAATTTTTCAAGGGGGGGTCCACGGTCGAAAGTCCACCATTTTTGTATCATGCTCCTTTTGATTTTGTCGATTTTCGGGTGAACAAAAAACAGTAAAAAACTAATAATTGAATATATAATTAGCATTAATTAATAAAATTAATCATTAATAAAAAAATACTTAATTAAATTTTACGTACAATATACTTAAAATTATAATCAATCGGAAAAAAATCAAGGCCTTTGGGAAGAGGGGGGGTTCGGACCCCTAGGGCACCCCCCTTGTGTGCGCCACTGATTGAACTTATATACAGCATAGTTAACAAACTTTAAATTATACAGGGGGTCCTGAAATAATGGTACAAACTTTAAAGGTAAGTACAGGACATTGTAACAATCATCTATTGTATAGGAATGTATGGGCGCAAGCGACGCGATGAGGCACAAACACAAAAAATAAGAGACGAAAGGAAAAACAAAATGATTATTAAAAGTGTCGTTGGCAAGTGTAATGTTTACAATAACTGTTCATAACTTTTCAGCACATGAGCTATGAAGTCCAGCTACAGCGCACAATTCTGTATCTACTAGCAGTCGGAGAAGATAGTCTGCCGGATTCAAAGCTTGTACTAGCTGAAAATGGAAGAGGTGTAAGCGATTTCCGTTTAGGACTCTACAAATGGTCTAAAGCAGTGATTCCCCCCCCAAAGTGGTCTATATTTACCCCAAGGGGTCTATGACGACCTGCAAAGGGTCCACGTCGGTGAAAAAATAATTTGGGGGCCTACGATAGCCAAAAACCGGATCATGACTTTAATTTTAAAAGAAAATTTAATTAAATGTAAGCCAAATTTACCTATTTAACAGCTTTATTTACTAAATTTACTGAGGTTATTTTGCAGTTACAAGAAGACAGCATAAATTTTACTAAACAAGTACCATCATTTCAGTGTTTCTTGCCAGAATCACAATACAAAACTGGACGCAGCGAATTTTAACAGTTTCTCAATTTGTCACAGAACAATCTGCCAGAAAAATTACATTTTAACCTGTGTTCAACACATTTAAATGCCCTTCATTCAAGTTTTGAAACTAAGTTTGAGAATGCTCTGACTATAGTAATATCAAAGTAGGTAATGTGAATTCACGTTGTCATATTAAAAAAAATATCTGATTACAAAAGGAACTGATTTTAATAACCCCAACGAAGATCTTAAAGTAAAGTTTAGATACGAATGTCAGCAATTTTGGCTTTAAAAAGATATACCTGTTATTTATACCGAATTATGAAACATCTCAAGAAAGTTTTTAATTGCTTTTCCCAGAGAGGAGGAGTTTCAGCGTGCTTGCCAATTTCATTATAAAAACAGAAATAAAAACTACTAACCGAGGAGATTTAGGGTTAAACCTGAAAAGATTAAAACCATATGTTGAAAATTTGTTATTGAAGCAATAGTATCATCCCCCTCATTAAAAACATTTGTTATTTTATGTAACAATTATATTTCATATACTAATTAAATTTTAATTTAATTAATTCACATGTTTCTTAAGTTTTAAACACTATACTTAACTACAGTTAGAAACATAAAACTTTGAAAGTAAGTAGTGCTATACTAGCTGTCAAAAAACATTTAAATTGATAAATTTCCAAAAATTTATTATTAGGTAAGTAGGGGTCTACACAAAACCGAAAAACATGGCAAGGGGTCTATGAGACAAAAAAAGTTTGGGAACCTCTGGTCTAAAGACTCGCATTTACGTGAGGAGCAACCTCCCTTGCGCTTGACTCGGGTCTATCAGCCACAACGTCCAAGATGCTTTCTTCCAGGCTTGGACCGCGTACAGCTCTTAGTCGACCAGCATCATGTCTGGTGACGTGGAACGAACGTGTTTCACGAAGTAGACGAAGTAACTGCTGAAAAATTCTGTGTCCGGCATTCGTCGATCAGGAATGCACGTGGTACATTCGTAGCGAAGCTCTGCCGTTACGGCCGTACATGTAATGCAAAGTCTGCTTTTTCAGAATACGTAGTCTCCCATCGTAGACGTCAGTGCAATTGTGAATGGAGCTTTCCCCTACTGAGATGCATCATGTTGAACGGCGGCTGGACATTTACTGCTCCCTACCGGCAACTCAACCAACCGATAACTCCATTACTCTTTTCTGTCATTTCCCCTGTTTGCGCCTCACCGCGTCAATTGTGCCCATATATTCCGATACAATAAATAATTGTTACAATGGCCCGCAACTACTCTTAAAGTTTGCACCATGAATTCGGGACTACCCTGTATACTAAGTATAAATATTGTGTTACGCTACCACGCCACTGGTCCGGGATTCAAACCCCGAGATGGGCAGGGTTGACTCAGCCTTTCATCCTTTCAGAGGGTTAGTAAATGAGTACCAACTTGCTTGGCAACTAAACACTTGGGATATAGCATGAGACTTACCATCTGATCGGAACATCTACTCATGCACCTCAGTACTCAAGGTCATGAAAATTGAGATGGGCACAGTAGGCCTTGGCTCTCGTGATCTGTTGCGCCACTGAGTTCATTTTTAATATTGTGTATTAAGCACTCCTTTTTTTATCCCTCATTTTGTTACTGGTTTAGTGAAAAACATGGTTCTAGTCTAAAATTTTGTTTGTTTTAAGTCATATATTTACTTTCAAGATGTTTTTAAAGAAACTTTTTCAACGGTCTATTTATATATGTATACAGGGTGTTCTAAAAATAGCTCCCGAGCTCTACACAGCCATATTCCTCGTTGGGAATACATGCTCCCAATTTTAATTCAACATTTAATATAGTTGTAAAATTTTGTAATTATAAAAATGTCTACTTTTTTGTCTTTTTTCAACATACAACTATTTTTAAAAAAGTACATTTTCGTTTCCGGGGGCTAAAAAGTAGCAAAGTGAGTGAGTGAATATTAAAGTCGCACTGTTCATTAAACTTGAGAGCTTTTGGCGATGGACTTCAAAATTTTGAACCATGGTCAAGTGACGAGGATGAGACTTGAGCTGGCACCCATCTCTCCTAACTAACATACCACACCAACGCTAGGACGTTTAAACTCTAGACAGATTCAACGTGCATCGCTCCTCTTAACAGCGGGTCTTCAGCGGTAGCCAAAAATTTAAAAGGGCAGTAATAATTAAATATGGGAAATTACCACGAGAACTTTGTAATGACGTTGATATAGGAATCAAACACACACGAGGAACGACTGATAGCGAGAGGAGAAGGGGAATTTCCATGACAATATGTTATGCATTCAAAAATGTTCGTGCAACGCCGGGGGGAATAAAAATGTTCGTGCAACGCCGGGGGGAATAAACCTGTCTGATAAAGAAAAGAAGCGAAAAAATTTCAAAACAGGGAAGTTTAAGTTACACACTCGGTAAAAGCCCAAGCAACGCCGTGCTAAGCGGAGGGGGAAACAAAGTAATTTTGAAAGTAATATTAAAAGTGCTGATTTTGTGAAGGGAAGGGAAAATTTATAAAAGTAGAGAGAAAGCCGGTGCAACGCAGGGCCATGCAGCTAGTGTTTAAAAAGATATGTATGTTTGAAAAGAAGCAGACAAAAAATTGAATTTTTTTTTTTTATCCATGAACCTGGGAAATAAATCAACTTGGAAGAGGAATTAAAATAAAAAGGCACGAGAGAAAAACGAAGAAAAAAGCGAGAGATGATAAACAAGCACACGCGAATCGCAAAATCAACTTCACAATAAAATTAGGCCACTAAGTAACGATTAACCTTACCACAACGTTGCAGCACGAATTGACGAAATTCGATCGATACATGGAGAGCATTTTCCCGTCCTCTCGGGTATTGATAAATGGTCCAAGGTCAGTTTTCAATGGAAGCACGTGCCTCGTTTGTAAGGCAGCCCGATTTGCCGTCCAGGATATGGCTACGCAGAAAGGAAACAGGGAGAACACTCAGTGACGTAACGGAGAATATTAGGGCCCCCCTGCAAAGTCAGGATTGGGCCCCAAGCCAGATCTTACAAAGGATTGCAAAACCATATTATAACATAGGCTTTAGGTCTTC